TTTTTTTTTCTTTTTTAAATCGTTGTCATTTGGAAATGAGATCGCACATAAGTATGAATTGAGATCGCGATTTTCTAACGATTAATCGTGCAGCCCTATACAGATGATTGAAGAAAATATTCCAAACTTCCTCCCTTTCTTTACAATGTGGAGTTGGATCTCAGGTGATGGGCCATGACAGGCTCCATCCTGTAGAGTTGATCTATCAAGATGATGATGAATCTTTCTTTTTATTAGTGAAGTCCCAATCTCAACAAATTAATTGGGGCGAGTCCATATTCCTTTTTTTCAACTTCATCTGGTGACAAAGAGCCATTAATTAAAATAAGTTTGAATAGTTTTTCATGAAGTATAATGTTCAGCTCTTAAACAAAACAGATGTTTGTCAGATCTGCAGCCACTTTCTACTCAACATTAACATGGTTAATTTTCATCTTATATACAGATACATTTTCCTTTTAAGTTTGTCTCTCTTTATATGAATAATCACATTTTCATAGTGAGTAATGACATTTAGGCACCGTTAAAGCTAAATTTCCTGTTTTTCCTTCCCTTGTGTAACATAGTAAGTGAAGTGATTTCTGATTTTGTTGTTCTCTTATTTCCTCAAAACATTTCCTCGAGTATCCTTTTAAAAGTCACTCAGTTTAAGACCATAAATTCATTAAGGTCTGTCTTTATTTCTGTAGTGCATTTTTCATACCAGTGTGATCAAAAATAACATCTGGAAGAGATGAGATAGAAACGTCTATAGAAGAGGGGTGAGGATGTCTCAGTACATGTATGATAGGCAGTGATCTGGGTTCAGGGTGGCCTGCAGGGGGCAGTGTCCACTGCTTGTCTGCCTGACACTTTTGGCCTCATTGCTGTTCAGACTGGAGGGTGAGGTGAAATGCTAAATATAGTCTGAGTGATTTGAAGGGGACAGGAGATGAATTATACCCAGGAGTGACTGGGGGAAAAAACTGTTAGAGGGTGAGAAGGGGAGGAAGAACGGGTGAGGGAGGATAGAGTGGCCACTCTTGTCTTCTCCTTTCTCATCTCATTCAGCGTTATTCAGGCTGCTCACTCAGCCGACGTTACTCTGGCTGCTTGCCGCCCGCAGGGTGGGCACTAAAGTGTGCCATGGTGATTTCAAATAGTGTGACAGGCAGTCAGCAGGGAGCTCTTCCAGTCTAGATATGGTGCTAAAGTCAGACTATGTAATTTTTTTTGGTAAGGATTATAAAAGAAATTATGATTTCTTAATATATATATTTTTTTATGCTTCTTTGTATTGGTGACTTACAGGTTTCTACCTCAATACTAGACTGAAATGTTTCTGTAACACAGAGTATTGTAAATTCTTTGGGAATAGTTCCTGATTCCTGAAATCAATGGAGCCTCAGGGACACAGGCTAGGGCTGCTCAATTAATCAAATTTTAATCACGATTACGATCTGGGCTTTCAACGATCATTAAAAATGACTGAGCCGATTATTAGCCCCTCCCTCGTGCTTTACTGTCGCGCTGGCCTGTGGGACAAATCGAGCGCACCTCTCTGCATTTCGAACACGTGTCACAACAATTAACCCCAACCTTTTTTGCACCACAGACCGGTTTATTCCCGACAATATTTTCATGGACCGGCCTTTAAGGTGTCGCGGATAAATACAACAAAATAAAACTAGTACCGGTACAGAAAAAAAGAAAATTTATTCATAACACACGTGAAAAGACCCAGGAAAACCGAGTAAACGATAAAAACGATAACAAAATAACGCTGAAAACCGATAAAAACCCTGAAAACCATACATTTCACACCTGAGCCTCAACTCTCGTGGCCCGGGACCAAATGACTCACGGACCGGTACCGGTCCGAGGCCCGGGGTTGGGGACCGCTGATTAAGAGGACCCGAGGGAAGCTCAGAAAGCTAAGCAGAAGTTATTTGGAGAGGAGAGTGACTGCCGTTGGTTGAAAAGGGAGGTAAAAAAAACTTCAATGGTGTGGAAACATTATGAGTTCGCGGAGTCAGACGTGGATCAAGTAGACGTAGTGTGTAAACTTTGCTACGGTGTCGTAGCTGCACCACAGAGCAACACTGCAAAGTTCACTAAACATAGATGTTTACATTTTTCATTTATTTTTTATATTGCAAACATTTGCACTGTTATCAGTATTTGCACACTATTTTATCTTATTTTTTGACAATCTTTAAAGTCATTATTCAATACATTGTTATTGTTAAATAAATATAGTCAAATAATCGAGATCTCAATTTCAGTGAAAATAATCGTGATTATCATTTTTGCCATAATCGAGCAGTCCTAACACAGCACAAATTTGCCAGCTTCACTATAATACTTCAAAATGGGCAATCTGCTCCTTTACAGATCTCCTTTATGGACTGTTAAACAACTTTGGTGATTAAATGTATTATGTTGCCCTTCCTTTTCAGTGAGTACTACTTTAGCCTCCACAATCTGGAGCGAGACTTCTTCCTGAGGAGAAAAATGGACGCGCAGGGTTTCCTCCCCATCTCCCTCATCGCCAGCTTCCACAGAGTGCAGGCCCTCACCACTGACGTCAGCCTCATCATTGAGGTAGCATCACATCATCAGTGTAAATGCTGCGTGTGCTCAGGCTGTAAAGCTTGTTTCTTGTCACATCAGTGTTTGTTTTGTCGGTTAGTTTTTAACTTCTAATCGTGCCAAGTTTGACATTTGTAGAGATGGTAGCAGTGAAGGACCATGAGAAGTCATGGAGTGCTACTTTTTATGACAAATGAAATGTTTTAAAAATAAGTGTGTGTGTAATTATTTATTTTTTTTTATCAATGCTAATCTAAAAGTTCTTATATTCTTTACTACATGCCTTGACTTTAATGCTTGGCTCTGGTATCTATCTCGCATTTTGAAGGCTCTGAAGAGCAGCACAGAGGTGGAGCTGGTTGATGAAAGGATCCGCTGTAAAACAGACCCTGAGCGTTGGCCGATTCCCACCCCTACCACCGTTGGTTCTCCTCGCACCGACTTCTCCCAGCTCATTAACTGTCCTGAGTTTGTTCCTCGACAGACCCTCAATGCCACAAACTCCGGTCAGTATCCTAATGATATCCTCTCAGCAAATCTCATGATGTAGATGCATAGTGTGTATCCAAAACCCCATATATATTGAATGTTAGCACTTTGGGCTGTCGTGTCCCTTTGCTATACAAAAATTAAGTTCTATTTAAAGAGCACCGCTAAACGGCCCCTTTGACACTGGGTGAACTATGAACACACAGTTTATTTTGACTCGGTTTTCACCAACCTACTGCCCCAAATATTCAGTTGAGCAGCAAATGTGGATTAAACGCAGCTGGAAGGCACCACAAACATGAAATTGCTGGAACATTTTACTAAATGAGCCTACATATTTGGGAGCAATGGCTGCAGAAGCACAAAATCACAGTGGACAGAGAGACAGTAGACAGACTGGCTTTGAAATCATGAGATTTGTTGACGGTGTAAAAAAGCATCATCTGCATGCTTGAATGATTAATTCAGTCTAATTGTTTTTATTTTATTTTTCCATGCTAAATTAAACATCCATATTTATGATTTTTTTTAATTTAATAAGATGACGCTGTCTGGAAGTCACAAAAACGGGTTTTGATGGACACTTTGTAAACAAGCTGACAAAGCTGCCATTAGTCATCAAAAACAGTTCAGTTTCTCTAACATCAGTTATTGTTGAGTTGTTGGTATTGAGATTAAACGCACAGTTTTATGTTGCTTTGAGCTTTTTGGTTTTTTACTCTGTACAAGGTTGACTGAGTGTCTGTGTTATGTGTCGGGGTTTTCAGCTTCATCACCTGTGAAGGCGACGACTCCTGATCCCGTGCAGCCTCAGGACTCCCCTGACCCTGGCTCCTCCAGCCAGGAATCTCTACCGGCCACAGATGACTCCAAAGACGCCCTCGCCCCCAAGCCCGACCCTGACGCCTGGATCCAGGTTGAGAAACGTCATAGGCAGCCCTCTGCAAAAGCAAAGGTAGTGAGTGCTCAAAGGTGAAACGGGCCACTCCCCTCATGCCTGGGGTTGCTTTAATTTTGAGTAGAAATTATGGCCATAACAATCAGAACTAGAAGGGCACGTGCATGCTTCACTCCTTCACCAGGTTTCATTAAATTAAAGGTTTTCAAACATATTTTCCATCTTTCATCCCTTCCATTGTCTCTCATTTGTTACTACGTCATAATGCTTGTCTTCTCCTTTCCTCTGTGTTTACTGTCAACACCTTTCGCCCATCTCCTCCATCTTTTTCCTGGCAGTATGTCAGTGATGAAGTGTGCATTGCCGGCTCTTCTCTCTCCACATCGCTCCAGCCTCACTGCCTTTCCTCTGCAGTTGAGTATTTCCTCCAGCACTCACTCATCCAAGCTTGTCCTCTGCCATTTCTTCCATGTGCTTCTTTTTTACTTAAATATTGCATGTCTGTTTCTTTACTTCACAAATGAACTCGATAGGGGATTAGTTATACTGCGTTACAGCAAAGTTATAACTCTGATTTTATGCTTTAGAGAGACGGTGGCGATGAAACTCGTGGTTGTTTTTGGAGTGTGCAGTTGGTGATGCTGATGAACTGAATTGGATTATTCACAGATGTATTTCTGTTATTTAATATAACATTAATAATAGAAATGCGTGTAAGAAACATTGTATTAATGATGGATCAGTATAACTCTGGACTGTTTGTTTGGCTATATAATTGGATGGCTTAATCACATTTATTATGTGTTTACACCTCGTTACACCTTGTCTGTTCCTTTGTTAATGGCTGTGTATTCACTGTGTTGTCTAGGGGGATAGTAAAACGCCTCCTCCCAGCCAGCAGCCGCCTCCACAGGCAGAGCCCGACCAGGAGGAGCTGGACTTCATGTTCGATGAGGAAATGGAGCAGATGGCGGCCAGGAAGAACAAGTTCACAGACTGTTTAGATGAGGACGACTCGGACTATGAGCTGGATGACCAGGATGTGAACAAGATCCTCATCGTCACCCAGACTCCACCCTACATCCGTAAGCATCCCGGTGGGGATCGGACAGGTAACCATGAGTCCCGAGCTAAAATTACTGCCGACCTGGCCAAAGCCATCAACGACGGGCTGTACTACTACGAACAGGACCTGTGGAAGGGGGAGGAGCCAATCGAGTGCATCAAGGTAAGATGAATGTGAAAATCATACTGTACGCGTTACGTTAATGGTGGATTTTAAAGTCTTAAAAGCTAGACTGTAATACACTCGTATAGCATCAGTGAGCGCTGTATATTTTATCTATTTTAAAAGTTTATAGATGACTGAAATACCACACCAAATACTCAAACTCCCTTTTTAAAAAAAATCAAAATAAAGTCATTATCTTCTAGAAGATGATGTATGGATCAAATATTCTCATATGGGGGAAATTATTTCTACCTGCTGGACATACAGACGACCTGCATTTTTAGATCCGTACGCAGCATTTTCTGCTTGGAACTGACAGCTAATAAAGTCTTACAGTCATCATGTAGCATGTTGGAGCAGGTCTGCCAGAGAGCGGTTAAAAAAAAAACTGCACTGACACTAGAAAAGGAACACCCAGTACAGACATGCACGTACAGCACACAGCGTAGCAAATCATGCCTGAACAAACCAGCCTTTGCATCTCGCTGCTATTCACAGAATAATGCTCAAGTTTCGTATGTGTTTGCATATTTCAGTTCTAACGTAATATCCATGGAAACATCATGATTAAACTTGATTTTAGACGTTGAAACTGCTTTGCAGTTATTAGGAAATACTTTGGATCATGCTAAGTTAGCCGTCTCATTATCATTCCAGGATTTGTGCTAAGCTTGTTTTGGTGTTGCATGGATGAATTCTTCTGAATTTTGACTGGTGTAGTGGGCTTTAACTGGTGTAGTGGGCTTTAACTGGTGTAGTGTGCTTTAACTGGTATAGTGGGCTTTATATGGTGATCACATTTAAACTTTATAGTCTGAAATTATTTAGACTTAACACTCGAGTCCAAAAGCTCTAATTGGACTTTGTAATGAGGTTGTTACCAAAACTGAGAATTAATTAAATAAGAACTTTTATTGTAATATTCACAAATTTTCAAGGGTAAGAAAACCTGGTGTGCATCAAGCCATCACCATCCCATCCAGTTATTCAGTCACCATCACTGTCACAATGTTTGATGGCTTGGAATTCGACATATTTATGCATTATTGAAGGCTATCTAAGTGCGCCCACCCTGCTCTGTGGAATAGAAGGGTCTTTGAGAAG